CAAGCCCCGTCCCCCCCATCCCAGGATATTTAATATTATGTTTATACATCCTTATATTTAAAGAGTTACTCCAACCCTTTTAAAGAGGGTTACCTTTCATGTAAAACACTCTATTGGGCACTATGGAGAAGGTGTTGGTCCCCCTGTCCCCATTTGCACAATAACTTGCAAATAAAATATGTTAATTTACTTGGAATCCAGGGCTGAGTGAAGCTCCTGCCCCTGACTTCACCCTCTAACATCACAAGGACCTTGTGCGGTCCAATCAAAAAGAAGCATGTGATTGGCTCGTTTTGCTGTCTCAGAGTGCATGCGCGCGCTCTAGGCGAGCGAGGGAAGGGGAGTGGTCATGGTGGTTGGAATAAGACTTTAACATGTATTTGTAAAGTGTGAATAATAATTAAATGACCCTCCAAGCACCATAACAACTTAATTGCAATGAATTTATTATGGTGCGAGGACTACTGGGCACCATCTTACCTTACGGGGCTAAACTGTTAACTGTTTTTGTTTTTTTTTGGCATCACAGACAGAACTCTAAGTCACGAAAGAAACATAACTGTTTGCTCATCGCAATTAGGGAAAAAACGAATGGACAAGTCTACTGTCATTCATTGTTATGAGCTGTGTTTTTCGCACCTGGCAGTCAGCATAGAGAAAGCATACAGAGAACAGGAGAAATTATGTTGCCTTTATATTTGGACAATAACCTGTACGGTAAAACTGTATGAAATGTTTTTTAAAAATCTAAAAAAACCACGACCACCAAAACACCATCAGCCATACTTTTACTCCATTTGTAGAATACTATCAAAATTTTTCATATGATCTGTCCATAAAACCATGTTGACTCTTACTAATAATATAAAAAACCCTTTGGTTAGTTTCCCGACCAAAAGACAAGCTCACATTTCACTAATTTCCCGGCGGACATATTTCTTCTTTTTAAATTATGTAAACCACATGCCAGTCTTCAGGTGTTGCCTGTGTTGCATGTCCTGCAAATTAATATATTTATACTTGGGCTAGAGGTTTGATTCAGACAATGCCTTAAATGGGAATTTCCACTTCTCAGGACTGCAAATCATTGAATAAAACATTGAAAGACCTACAAGTTGTGTTAACTTTTTCTTTTACATGCTCTGTTTTATTTTAGGTAATTATATCTAATTGCAAGACAAATCAAAGGCAAAAGAAAATGAAGGCACATATGGAATAAATTGTCTCGTTTCCTGACCAAACATGGCAGCATCACTCATGAGTAATGCCCAATCTCTATGAAGGGAGTAAAACAGCCACAAAGTACACCAAAAAATGCTTTAAAATAAATGTATCTACTTAAGTCCACTGAAGACAAAACACGTCTCTTAAAATTATACTCAGAGGAAGAAGCCACGTCATGTTTTTATTTTTATTTTTTTATTTTTTTTATTTTTTTTTTTATTTATATTTTTATTTTTCAATATACATAATTGAGTAACAAACATTTCTCTTATTTTGGTATGCAAAGATGGATAACAATCATTTCTCATACTTCAGTTTGTGTAGATGAACAACAATCCTTTCTCGGATTGCTAAACCCGTCAGGGTGATTATATAACAATTCGTCATTTTGAGAACGGATTAACAGTAACATTGGTTTCGTAAAACGTAACAATGCGTAAATAATATACCAGCTGTGTAGATGATGTGGCTTCATGTCAGTTTACAATGGCACAATCAAATAACTATATGTGTCGGAGATATTACGAATATGTAGTCTATGTTGTCTGCGTCAGTCCTCGTGTGTGGTAGCCGTGACTGGAGAGATCGTTAGGTTCGTCCTTGTGGTAAGGTTTTGGTTATAGTCTACAGCTAGTGTGTATAGTGTCAATTTTTTGTCTTACCGTGTGGTGCTCTCGATTGTGTCCCTTTCCCTACTCCTGATTGCCTCTGTCTAGAAATTGGGTCCAAGGTTCCCAGGTTTGTTTGTAGTGTGCGTATCTATGGGTGAGTGAGAAGGTAAGTTCTTCCATGACCCTAGTGTCTTCCACTTTTTGTATCCATTCCCTAACTGAGGGTGCTAGGGTCTGTTTCCATTTTATAGGTATTAGTAGGTTTGCTGCCGTCAGTAGATGGTTGATGAGGTGGAGTCGTGTCTTAGGGATGTCGGTTGGGGGTAGCAAGAATAGGTAAGATTCTGGGAGGAAGGGTAGAGAGATGTCTGTGATGTGTTTAATCAGGTCTGAGATTTTTTTCCAGAAAGCATTTATTATAGGGCAAGACCACCATATGTGTGCGGATGTAGCTGGGGTTTGGTTACATCTCCAGCAAAGGTTCCGGGTGTTTGAGTATATTCTACTCAATTTGTCTGGTGTATAATGCCATCTGGTAATTTTTTTGTAGTTACTTTCTTGTATGGTGCTATTCGTTGTAGTAGAGTGAGCCTTGGTTAGAATTTTCGTCCAGTCGGTGTCGGGGATTGATGTGTTCAGATCGGACACCCATGTTTGTGTAAATGGTGGGAAACTAGTATTGTTGTCTTTTTGGAGGAGTTTGTACATAGTTGAGAGGTGTTTGCTTTTGATCCCCTGCGTTTGGCATAGATTTTCGAATTCTGTCTGTGGCCGGAGTTTCGTTAGAAGGGTATTGTCGGCCTTAAGAAAGTGTGTCAATTGTGCGTGTTGGAAAGTGTGCATCGTTGTTATCCGGGAGTCAACTATGAGATCTGTCAGTGGTTTAATGTTTCCCCCTTGTATCACATCTTGTAGTGTGAGTTGTTGTGATTGTGTGTTGTGTTGTAGGAATTGGGTTTGACAGCCCGGTGGAAAAAGAGGGTTGTTTGTTATCGGGTAGCGCGGAGATGGGTGTGGGGATAGTACTTGGGAATCCCTGATTTGGTTCCAAACCTTCAGTGCGGGGGTGATGGTCGGGTGTTGGGAGAAGGGTGGCTTTTGTAACATTCGCCCTTTGGGGTGCCAGACTACATTGTGTGCGTGTGTGGAGAGGAACGTCTCTTCTATAGTTCTCCATTGTCTGTGCGGGTGCGGTGCTGTCCATTCGTATATGCGATGTAGTATGACTGCCTTATAGTAGGTTTCAATATCAGGTGAACCCAAGCCCCCTCTATTTTTCCTTTTAGTCAGAGTTGTGTAGCTGAGTCGAGGGTGTTTGTGCGCCCAAATGAATTCCGAGAAGAGCCGTCTCATCGTAGAGAAGAAGGCTTTTGGGAGTGCGATTGGTAAAACTTGTAGGAGGTAAAGTATTTTGGGTAGAGTGGTCATCTTTATGATGTTCACCCTACAGAGCCATCCAAAGTGGGGTTTCGACCATTGTGCTAGATCTTGGGAGATTGTTTCTAAGAGGGGTTTATAGTTAAGAGAGTATAGTGAGGAGAGGTTTTTCGGGAGTTGTACTCCTAAGTATTTTATCGCTTTGTTTGTCCACTTGAAAGGGAATCGAGCTTTAAGAGAGTTTGCGTTGTGGGGGTCTATTCGTAAAGGGAGGATTTCACTTTTGGTGAAGTTCACTTTAAAGTTGGACACTACTGGTATTGCTCTAACTCTTCCACTAAGGGGCCCATGGATGTGGTTGGGTCCATTATCGTGAATAACAGGTCATCTGCAAAAGCAGAAGCCTTATATTCTTGGTTGTTTATATGGAAACCGTGTATGTCAGGGTTGTCTCTTACTCCTTGTAGGAACGATTCTAGGATTAGTATGAAGAGTAATGGGGACAAGGGGCACCCCTGTCTTGTTCCATTGTATATTCGCACAGGTGGTGAAAGTTGGCCATTAATTCGAATTTTAGCGATTGGGTTTGAATATATGGATTGGATCCACCGGATCCAATTTGGGCCGAGGCCCAACGCTGTCAGTGTGGCTAGGAGGAAAGCCCAATCCACTCGGTCAAATGCTTTTTCGGCATCGACCGAGAAGATGACGCTTTGCTTGGGGGTGTGTTGAGAAAAATGGATCAGGTTAAGTATTTTATTGGTGTTATGTTTAGCCTCCCTGTTTGGGACGAATCCTGATTGGTCTGGGTGTATGAGAAGTTGAAGGAGAGGACGTAGCCTGTTTGCTAAGATTTTCGTAAAAATCTTTAGGTCGATATTGATAAGGGATATGGGGCGGTAGCTTCCACAGTCAGTGGGATCTTTACCGGGTTTGGGGATTAGGGTAATGTGGGCTTCCAAGGCTGAGCCAGGCAGAGTGGTGTGTGTTGTTAGAGCATTGAATGCCGTTGTGAAGGGTACGCTCAGTGTGGAGGCAAATAGCTTGTAGTATTTAGCTGTGAAGCCATCTGGTCCTGGACTCTTGCCCACTGGTAGATGCCTTACCGCTGCACTAAACTCGTCTGAAGTGATGGGTGCTTCCAAGGATTTAGCGTCTACGGTAGGTATCGTACGCTTTATTCTGGACAATAGGAAGTTATCTATTACTTCTTTGGGCGGTGATTTTGTCCGACAGATGGTATAACGTTGAATAGTAATCGTGAAAGGCTTTTGTGATATCTGGTAGCATGGCGGTTAGTGTACCTGATGGTGTCTTTATATGGGATATGAATGTGTTTTGTCTTTTTTTCTTGAGTGCGTTAGCTAGGAGGCGGCCACATTTCCCCCCTTGTGTGTAGAAGGAGTGTCTGGTGAGTAATAATTTCCTCTTAACTGAGGCATTAAGGAGCTGTTGTAGTTTCGTGCATCTGTCTGTCAGCTGTATGTAGAGGTCTATCGTATTATTGGTTTTGTGGGCAGTCCCTTCAGGCATTTTCATGTAAACACTGCCCCTAGGGACACCTCTAAGTGGCCACACCTCAGATTGCCTGGCTCAGTGCTGCACAGTAGGCAGCAGTGACGTGCAGTGTCCCCACGCTCTGCATGGAGACGCTACATTTTTCTCATAGAGATGCATTGATTCAACGCATCTCTATGAGGGGGAGCTGATTGGCCAAAACTGTGTTTGGCCCCACCCCCTTGCCAGTTTTAGCCAATCCAATGCTTTCCCCATGGGAAAACAGATTGGCTAAAAATCGGCACTTTTGATGATGTCACCAAGGGGGCGGGGCCAGCGCTGGCAGACCCATGGATGGCTGAAAATAAGGTAAGTTTTATCTTTCCATTCTGAGGGAGTTAAGGAGGCAAGCCACATAAATGGTGGGTTTTCCCTATAGGTTCAGGAATACATGTTCCTGTTCCTGACCCTATAGTGATCTTTTAAGTTATAATAACCACTGAACAAGCATGAAATATTAGGTTAGATAAAGATGCTCAGTATTCCAGGAAATTAGCATTTAGGCATTTTTAA